ACGTTTATCATGCGTGTGATCATTTATTTTACTGTTTACTTTTATGTCATTCTAATGTTCTACTGATTAACCTTTTCTTCGTTTTCAAGCAAAATATACCCTTTGTAAAAGTTTAAATCACACAGAAGAGATAAAATCTAAAAAGTTAGTCATCGTCATCATGATGTGATATTTTCTGTCTTCTATTTGGTGACAATAAATAGAACCTGGTAGTATTTGGTTCACATTTGAATGGTGTCAGGTATATATATATATATATAAATTATCCTTGTGTCCTTTATCGAGTTGGTAACACTATTTAAGAGGTATGGTATGACTCGTTAGAGTCCAGATAACTCAACTTTCAACCTATATAGTTCAAGGGTTCAAAACTTGCTCCAATCATCCGGGTATTGACAACCACATAGTATCGCTAACCTTCCGACAATAAATAAGTGTAGCTCACTGCTAACTACAAGTGTCTGTTGTTGAGTAACATTTCTTTGTCATTATTTTCATAATATTCTTTCAGAGGATACTATTTTATTCTACAGAGCTTTCAATAAATCTTTAGTATAGGTGGGTAATGTGCGTCAGTATTTCAGTAGTAGGATGCTATCCAGTGCCGCGGGAGGTCCACTTTCAACTCTTAGTTAGTGCACTCCCAAAGACTTTAGTTTACTAGTCGGTAGTAAACCCGGAAGAGAGGGAATGTTGGGCGTGAGATTGGTGACACTAACCCGACTGAAACTTTAAAAAACGTCAATCTCTACATTTCACTCGGAACTTAAGGGACGAGAAAGATAAACTACGACCAAGTTTTTAATTGCTTTTCTAATGTGTTAGATTGTACACTGGACTTCATAGAGGAATTAAAAATGAATATAGCTTGCACTATAGTTTAGTTATTACGTACATGTACACAATATTTATGAGATGAGATTGGCTATTTCGCTAGTTTTTTATTTAGTCGTTAGGAATAATTTGCTTGCATTATTTGTCATTGCATTACCATTGATTAGGATCTGTAAATTACACTCATTAAAGATCGGTGTGTGTAATAAACACTTCGCCTTTCTTCGGATCACTTCATTTTGTTAAATTATTTATCCTTTCTATTTTAATCCTCTGCGTTTCGAAGTCTTAAAGCTTCAGCTTTGAAGTTTCAATAGCACTGATAATTTTTACGGACAGACGTTGCTAACCTCGCGCCTAACCTTCTTTCTTAACCGGGTTTGCTACCTGTTACGGTAAATAACTTTATAAGCCTTGTTAACGTCGATTTTGTGTTCAGTATCTACAAGGTGAACTAGAATAGAGCTGCAAAGAAACTTTGTCTGTCTCTTGCTTAACCACACACGATGATTGATATAAGGATAAAACTTGGGCACTGTGGTAGAGTCTCACTACATTATGGATAAAATTTTATTATGACAAAATCACAGTGTTGTACAGTAATATCAACTGATGACGTTTCGAGGAAAAATTATTGCTTTATTTATATACATGAGTAAAAATTGATTCGACATTTGAATAAAATCAATATAAGATAAAGTAGTACATTCGGAAATAATGTTAATGATACCAATAAAATACAATGAGATGGGAAATGAGATGTTTTTATTGTAATAGAAGATATTATCACCAGTCAAATCAGAGGATAATAAATAATCTTAAAATGTATTCAATTCACATTATAACATTCTAACAAGTTATTTATTTTACTATAAAAAACATCTTATTTCCCATCTTATTGACTAACAACACTCGTCTTATTTCTCATCTGACTGTATCTGATTCATAACATTAATATTATTTCTGAATGTACTTTATCTTATATTGATTTTATTCAAATGTCTAATCAATTTTTACTCATGTATATAAATGCAGCAAGAAAGTTGTGTGAGTGACTTGATATGATTATGAGCGGTAATAAATTGTACTTGAAACGTGGTCATCGGTAAATATTACTTACTGCATAACACTGTGATTTTATCAAAATAAAATTTTATCCATTATGGAGTGATACACGATGATGTTGGGAAACCCGACGACAAGCATACCCAATGTAAGCGGCTCCACAGGAGCAGTCAAACTGATAGATATACATGAAGAGGCAAAATTAGGTAGTTTATTGTTAGCCACCGAATGTAAAATACGAGCGGTTGTGAAAACTGAGTAAACTTCAGCGGTACTAAATGCTAGTTTTACTGCATTCTCTAAGCGTTGTATTATTATTTTACTTATTCTATCTGTCATCAAAGAAGTTTTAAGAACAAGAGTTTCTTTGGAGCTGTTGACATATTAGCTTAGCTTGATGTTAAATTCATACTTTTATCAATAAACCTGGATGTCCATTCTCACTCAGTAGTCGCTTCATAATATTAAGTTCTTCATTAAGGCATACATTAAAGCAGATCGCTCTTGTTCTGTAGATCAAAGAATGTAGGATTTTTTTTACAGTGGTGAGTGTATCAGTTCAGTTTATTACACTTCATAGTATTAAACAGCGACAAATGTATACATGAATGTGTTGTTAATGCCACAACAGATAAACATGAGTGCAGAAATGAGGAAAATGTACTACAGAGTACTTAAGTTCTCCAATATATTGAAGATGATGTTAAAGGGAAAATGCACCATGACCACTGTTGGATGATTTTCAACCAAATTAGTTATTTACCCTCGGTATTTTGGGGACCATTATCATCAAGCATTGCATACCTGTCTTTTTTAGGGCTCGGATCAATAGTTGACCTGTTATAAAAGAATATCAGATTTATATGAAGCATTAGGGATGCGAATACTGAAGATAACGAAGTCTAACCAAACTTTGCCTTTATTGTGTGTGTCAGAAACAGTCTGTTTTCTCAACAAAAGAATAATTTCAATAGGCATCGAAATAGGAAAGCCAAAGCTTTATCTACCGATAAAGTTTGTTCAATTACTCCTTTCATGTCTATATGGAGCCAGATATATAAGTCGTTTAATGCGTGTTTTATCTAAGAGTCAAGGAATATTATCCCCCTTTGGCTGCAAAAACATGTTGCGTAATGATGGATCAATAAGGAACGCTATAGTTGAATATGTATATTCAACACTGACCACTGAGTATGTTAGGAGAATTCATTCAAAGTTATTTACAGAGTCAAAAGAAGCCTCTCGAAAGCTGTATTCTTCCGTATACTTTACATTGCTAAGGCCGTAGCGATTCGGTTGGAAATCCCTGATTTTTGTACACAGAAGAAATTTATTCATCCCCTCCTTCGGTCTTGGGTATACTGCTTCTAACATTTTTCTTATGACATTTACTAACATCACTTTCTTAACTAATCTTTTGTTCACTCTCTTCATCTACTACATAATTTATTTCGATACTTGTCTCTATACTGTATCGTTAACATCCAATTTCTGTGAACATTTTGCACATTACGCAACCCTTGTCTAAACTTCCTGATTTTCATCCCTAGTTACAGTCTGATTATTCATCACTGCTTTGAAATATTGTGATGGTGTAAACAATACGCCACGCTAATTTTATTCTTGTTTCGCAAGCTAAATGCACACACATGCAAAATAATTATCTATAATTGCAATTATACAGCTAAGGGAATGAATTCACTGAGAAGACTTTGCTGAACTGTCTGTCCTTATTCCCATGTTTGGTCGGGTATATTCCGTGAGACAGTTATTCGAACTTCCTTTTTATTTCCCCTATTTCACCATGTTATATTTTGACCTCTCATCGGAAATAGTGGTAGGACTTTCTCACCCCTTTGGTACTATATACTTACGAATGTATAGCCCCTTAATTGCTGACTTTGTTCAACGGAATTTTTCCCTTCGTTGCAACAGTCTTTCTGTGTTGAACTTACTGTTCTCTGAGTCCAGAGAGCACAACAACACCAATATATATATATATATCGTTTATATTTGATCATCGTACAACATAAGCTCAACAACTGTAGACATTTAAATGAGGTGCGTTAGTGGTTCAGTGGTAGAATACTCACTAACCACGCCATACGTGGTCTGAGGTTCGCTTCCTGGTCGCCGTACTCCTAAACCTCGCCTAGTTGGTAGTAAATCCGGCAAAGAGGAAAAGTTGGGTGTTAGGTCAGCAAACCCTCGTAAAAAACAACATCACTGCTACTGCATCTTCAAAGCTTGAAGCCCTGTACTCCACTCTGAACGCAAAGGAATGAGAAAATCACATTTAAATGCAACGATTTGATTTTATTCTTCTCGTAACCCAGGGTATATCTAGGTCCTCCTTGTTTTTATTTTACTTTAAAGAAATTTATTATTACCTATATCATATTCAGTTTTGAATAAGGTAATATGGAATCTTTAGGTGCATGCAGACTACTGGTTTTTTTTTAATGGGAAGAAATTAATACCTATTCTTCCGAATTTGTGCTGTTTTGTTTTAGGCATGCAAATTGGTAGACATAGCTGGATATCAAATGAATTGGGAGGAATTATTCAGCCTTGTTTCACACGATAAATAATTCCTTTTTTTGAAAAAAGATCACTGTTTGTCAGTCTGACACTTTCTCCACATGTATTATTCGTAATGTATTTTACCTACCATTCATGGCAATAACTTCCTGTCATGGTGATAAATATGTATGTGTAGGGTAGCTAAGTTAATTGACTTAAACACTAAACTTTCATCCAGTAATGCTCCGGGTTCGAATCCCAATCTACCTACCTATTTTAGTCAGGTGAACTAGACTAGAAATATTTATGAGCTTGAAGGTTGTTCAGTCTGTAAACATCTGAGAAAAAGAGTTTCTAAGATTATAGCTGTTATTGCACTAAGTTTCTCTGGTTAAATGTTCCTTAGGAAGAATTGTAAAATAGAGTTCCCCAGGTCACCTATATTTAAATAGGCTTAAAAGTTAGGCATTCCCACTTAATTAATTCTCTGTATTATTAACATTTGATTTGCTCGTTTGTTGTGTGTTCCTTTGATTTAATCTTCTTTTTCTTTTCAAATTGTTTCCCCTTTATTCTAGAGAATAATTCCACTGGCTATATAAATCAAATCACTATTGTTCATCATCCTCAAAGTAATAATAATAATAATCCTGGTAGCTTCGAATACACAAAGCATATGTCTGATAATCTTTGGTCGTTAATTTTCAGTATCATCCTGATATTGAGTTTTTTTGATATTGACAGTATATGGCCAAAATATTTACGATATAGTCTTACTTTATCCGTGTCATTATTGTATTTCATATTAACTAATGTCAATTATGCTTTGACACATTTTGAAACACTCAAGTTACCGAATATATTTGAGAACAATACATTTCTATTAAATACATCGTTGACTACAACAACATTATGTCCTGGATGGATTCAGAAGGCTACCTTTATCCAACCTGTTTCATGGTGGACTGATCATAAAGGGATATTATGGAGGAGTGTAAGTTTAATTGTACTGTTATTTATTTATTTTTAAAATTTATGTTTTCCTGCAACAACCAGTGAGACTGATTAAATTAAGAGTGTAGTGTTAGTTACTCGTCGATACTATCAAGTGATTGTCAGCTATTCATTTTATTACTTCATATTCCGAGTTGAACGTAGGGCTTCAAACTTAAGCTGTACAGTTTCAGTAGCAGTTATGCTTACTTGTTACGGGGTGGGGTTGCTGGTCTTACGCCCAACCTTCTTTCTTTTCCGAGCTTACTGCCGGCTAAGTGAGGTTTAGGGTTGAGTCGGTGGCTGAGGATCAAACCCCAGACCACGTGCGGCGTAGTTAACGAGAATTCTACTGCTGAGTCTCACCGACGCACAAAATACACAGCAATTGGGAGAAGGTGAAAATCATTGATCGTTGAATTCTGATCTAATGATTTAACGGTAGAATTAATACCTACAGTTAAATCTTATCATCCTGGGTCTAATCCTGTTCGCTGTCATAACTGGGCACTGATGAAGATTCCTGGATAGTGATGAAACACTCTTCCAAATGTCTCCTTATTTTTAACTCAGTTGTGTAGCTAATGATGCTTAACTAAGAAGAAATGTCATTTGGCATCAGTTACATGCCCATAATACCTATGTACTTGGTGGATATTACGAAGGTGCACCCACTGATAGTAACGAGATATTCATAAGTGAAGAAAAGATACCCATACGAATTTTTATATTAATGAATCTTGTGATATTTATCTCTTGGGAATGAAAAATTGGTACTGGTAGTAACTGACCTACTTATTATTATCCTTTCTGGCCATCTGATCTTGAGTATGTAGCGAAGTGAGCAGTTGTCCATAAAAATTTAAAGCAAACTGTTGGAAGTGCTCCTGGTGATACGCTCACCAACTCTCTGAACCATATAGAACTACTGACTCGACACTAGTGTTGCAAATACGAATCTTGTTCTTTGTGCTTAGTGCAGCAGATTTATAGACTGATCACAGACTGGTCAATGAAGGTGTCTGTTTTGCCTTTCTATTCCTAGCTTTGACACCCTCATCCATGGCGCCCGTCTGTAGTTGAAACGATGATACCTAGATAAAAGTAAATGAGGTGGCTCCGTTCAAATTTCTCCCGTTGATAGTGATAGGTGATGGCTGTTGGGTATCTTTATTACCTCTGTCTTCTCTATGTTCACTTGGAGTCTCCTGTCTTCTCTGTCTCTTCTTACAGTTTGTTGGTTTTCGTCTATAGCTCTCTGAATTTGTGTGACATTATGCATAAATCACGCTTTTACTTAATCCCCGTTCCATTGTTAAGCCGAGTACATTTCTTTCTAATGCTTCTTTGTGTAATTTTCATGTTTTCAGTTACTGACTTTCATGTTCAACGATATAATCTGTCACTGAGCTTTGTACATATCATACGATACAAGAGTTGTTTCATATATATATATATATATATATATAACCTTTAGTTTACGATCACTGACAATTTAGCCACTAGGACTCCTGTGAAAAGTCGTGACCAGTGGAGTCCACCAGGTTGGGTGTGAAAGCACATAGTCGTCGATGACATTAGCTGGCGTGGCGCTAAAAACCGCCACTTCACGGGTCGTTAAATTCCGTCCCAGTGGTTGAATAGTCGACGAGTTCGCCGCATAACCTGAAAGTCCTGAATTCTATTTCTGTTGGGGTACATATTTCTGAAAAGTCCCTAACGAAATAGCTGCCTAATACTCTTTGGTTATACATGTATAGTTGACAGCATCAATGCGTTTGTGATACACGTACTTACCAGTAACACATTAGTACGAATCATATTGCAATTGTTGACGGTGTTTCTTTAACAACTGTGTAGAGTAGCATTCTAACTCATATTCACCCTAGTGTGTGAATTTGTATAGACTACAATGTGCCTTCCCATGGAATGAGGCAGGCTAAGTATGCTTCACTCTATGTACTCTACTTTTCATCGTCTGTCATTATTGTCATTAATGTTATTATTATTTTCAAATAATTTTCTTCCATTTTATTTATTTGTTGGTTTTATGGAAAAGAATATAGCTACATTGTGTGCAATATTTTGTGCACATTTAATTGGTCAAGCAGTTGCAATCTGGACTAGTCGACATCGTTATCGTCTGTTTTTAACAGCTGGTTATGCACAAGCTGTTCTGTACAGATTACAAATGACTGAGTCAAAGTTGGTAAGATATTATTTCTTGTAATGTATAAATTTTTATATCCTATTTCTATCTCTTCCTTTTTATTTATTCTATAATTCATATTGATAGTTTACTGTGTCAGGTTGTCTAGGCAATAAGTATTAGCAGCTGTGACTTGCTTATTGGTTCAGGGGCTCACATTTCAAAGTGTTGATTTACATGGATTTGATCTTGAATTCATTTTACTTAGAGAACTCACTGGTAATATTGATATGACAATAAAACTTGTGCACTGTGATAGAGTATAATTCCATTACTGGTAGAATTTATTTTGATAGAGTTTCACAGTGTTCTATGCTAATATTTACTGATGACGTTTCGAGCACAATTTATTGCTCATAATCCTATCAAGGTACTCACACAGCTTTCTAATTTCGTTTATGTAATTTCATTATTTTCCATCGCTTGATTTGATTGGTAGTAGTATATTCCATATTTCCAGTAGGAGTGATGAGTCATTCTTATTGCACGCGTTGGGTGTAGACTCGATGAACCAGAATTCAGTAGTCAATCTCTCTCTCTCCACCTACCTATATTACTTCTAAGAATTTTAACCTTCTCCCGCCCTGTTCTGTGGTGGTGTGTTAATGTATGCAGTGCAATCGCTGAGCGTTTTTCTAAATTACTTATCTTCTTGAGGTCAACCATTCTTACCTTAGCTAAATTCTTATGTTCCGACAATCTGACTACCCCCAACCTACTAGTTTGACCTATCTAGTTGACCTCACAGTCATTGCAAGGTATTTTGTGAATTATATTATTTTCTCTAATTGGGTCCACTGGGTCTTTCAGTCTACAGAGCTCCAAAGCTTGTCTCTGAGTGAGTTTGTAGGTTTAAATGCCAATCTAATTCCTGCTTTATTGAGAGTCCTACGTAGGGTCTCAGATGTCCCCTCCTCATATGGTATAACTGTAGGTGTCTTATATTCTCTCTTATTTGTGTTATCGTTATTAGTTTCCCCATTATTTTTATTTTGCTTTTGATTCTTTTTGATATTCCTAATGAATTTTATAGGATAGTTATTTGATACCAACGCTTATTGTATCTGTTTTATTTCATCATTTAGGTCTTTTCTTGTACTCCTTAGTGCTATTGCTCGGTTTGTTAGACACTTAACTAAGCTCGCCTTTACAGACAACAACGGATAAGACGAATTAAAGTTTAAGTATCTATTAGAATGCGTTGGCTTTTTATAAAAGCTACTGTGCAGTTTACGTTATTCTCTTCGTTTTATATTACAATCTAGCATAGCTAATTCTTCTTGTTCACTTTCCGATTCAAATGTGAATTTTATTCCCTTTACTAGTGAGTTTATATGTGTCAAGAAGCTAGAAATATGTTCTTTTTTTAACACAGTGAAAGTGTCATCCACATATCTCCACCATGTTTTTGGAGTAGGATTAAAAGTTGTGTTAAGAGTAATATTTTCCCATCTGTCCATAAATATATCTGCCACGATAGGGGATATTGGTGATCCCATTGCTACACCTTCAGTTTGTCTATATATTTTGCCTTGGAATTTAAATATAGTAGATGTGAGGCATAGCTGAATTCCTAGTTCTTCGTGTGAGATATTATTCAACTTTATTTAGCTTATTATGTTGATCTATTAAATTCAATTCCATCTTGGCATTAAAAAGACTTTATTATTATTGAAGTCCATTTTGTTTCCTTGAACTCAATTGTTAAGGCTTTCATATTAAAAAAAAGATATCAGAAATATCCATAACAGAAAGATTATCTGTTCTATTAGCCCGTAGTTCTCTTGATTACCAGGCGAACAATTTTATCGTAGTCAACGTGTTTGAACCACTGTTTAAGAATTAATTATTTTAGGTTTATGGTGGTCCAGTTACTGTAAGCTGTACAATGCTATTTGCTCAAGGGAATCATATCATAAAATAGATCTTAGTTTCGCTTGGGTTCACAGAGAACACCTAATTTTATGGTACCAAGCTACTTTATTTAGTTTTTCGGTTGATTTGCGTTCTGAGTGGAACACAGGAATTCATTAGCAGTATTGTTCTAAATAATAGAGATTTGTAGCTCAGGCGGATGATTTTCATGTATTTGTGTTCTTTGAACTGAGTGATATAATTGTCAATAAGCTAATGTCGTCCTTCTAGACAACATGCATCTTTGGCGCAAACTTCAATATGAAGTCAACTTATTTGAATTCTTTCTCCATGATTGATATACTTGTATCTCCTCACAACGTTTGTTTTGATTGATTATTAATTTGCATCAGTATTGATTGTTTTTTATTGGCTAGGAATCTGACTGTTTTATCACGTGGCTTATACTTTACTAGTTGATACATTTAATCTATAGTTATGTGTCTGTTAATCGCTGATTCTTCTGAGTATCAGGCTTCTAGGAATTTTCTCGCATTTTTAGTGTTTCCAATTTCTACATTTTTCCAGTCAAATTGGTGCCGATAATTGTCTGCATGTACCGATATGATAGGATACATGTCATATCTTTTCACAACTAGTGTATGTTCATGACAATGATTGTCATATGATACACTTATATCATTCATGGAGAATTCAATTAAGTTCACTTCATGTTAAAGCTTGCTCTGGAGATGTCTTGAAGGCGGAAACAAAAGCTTCTCATTTAAACCGCATCCAGCTCAGAGAACGCAACCACATTTTACGGTGCGGGGTTACTAGCCTCATGTATAACCTTCCCTCTTCTCTGTGAAAACTATGAGCTAGCGAACCAGGTGGAGTTTAGAGGTGTTTTGGTCAGGTGTCGAACCTGGACTAAGCACATGACTAACGAATATTCTAACATTGAATTACCGACTTACTACAGGGACTTAATAATGTACTTTGCGAAATACATTTTAGAAATGATGTGAAGAGTAACTGAGGTATAATCACATGTCATTGATCGTCTTCACAACTTACACAAGATAGAATAATTTGATTTCTAAAATGAGAATTCGCACTACATTCATGCATAAACAACAGGGAAAAAATCATAATTTCTAGTGTTAATTTATTAATTGTAATAATGTAAGCATTTTCCATATATGCGAGCAACTGCTAAATGTTTAATTTCCATATTTTACCAAAATTCATTGTTAAAGAGGCGCATGAATGCAATAATTCAAGTTGGCAATGATTAAAACATCATGTGAACCTTTACACCTGACTACAAGTATAGGTCGTAGATCCAAATAATACTATGGATTCATCATGAACTGATAGTCTTTGAAACTTTGATTAGACGCTAAGCTGTAACTGTTGTCGTGCGTCTAGTCCTTGGTGCTGACGCAGACTGAATTCTATTAGCCAAGTTTATAATGTTGTCACCATGGTAGACGGTATACTCTGAATTGATGTTAGATGCGTAGAGGTAATCGGAAGGAAGCCCTGTCTGACCTAGGTTTCGTGGCATTCACTCGTCAGCAAGGCGTATATACAGTCTTAGAGGAACTCATGACCCTTCTGGGATTCGGACGTGGTTCATGCAGTTCTACAGTCAAAGACTATACTAATGAGTTATTTAGCCTCACGATTGACTTCCTTTAGGAGTGTAATGGATACTTCGATTGATCACTAGATAATAATCAATATCATGCATCTATTCCTCGTTTTGGTGCAGGTTGAATCCAGTCTCAAATGATCGCATTAACCATTTTTCCAAAAAAGCATAACAGGTAGAAAAGGGTGTATGAAATAAATGAAATTGAAAATGACTCATTTACACGAACAAGCATAAAAAAATGTCAATCAACCAGAAGTGGATGTGTTTGGTGGATATGTTTCTACTACACTTGAAACTTAATAGTGAAGTGTAATGATTGACACTGTGGAAATAGAAAGGCACAACAAATTCAACAGGCCGGCGCTGGTGTTCCTATAAAATAACAAGGCTGTTTGCTTGTTTTTCATCTCAGTGTGAACGAATCGATGTCGTAGCCCTCCCAGATGGTAGTTTCAAGGTTTAAACAATCCATTGAAGCTGATATTGTTAAACTAATCATGAACAAAATACACAGAAAGTTGAAATTAGTCATAACAATAAGTATGCAGGCGAAAACCAACAAATTGTAAGAAGCGAAAGAGAAGACAGGAGACTCCAAGTGAACATAGAGAAGACAGAGGTAATAAAGATACCCAACAGCCATCACCTATCACTATCAACGGGAGAAATTTGAATGGAGCCACCTCATTTACTTTTATCTAGGTATCATCGTTTCAACTACAGACGGGCGCCATGGATGAGGGTGTCAAAGCTAGGAATAGAAAGGCAAAACAGACACCTTCATTGACCAGTCTGTGATCAGTCTATAAATCTGCTGCACTAAGCACAAAGAACAAGATTCGTATTTGCAACACTAGTGTCGAGTCAGTAGTTCTATATGGTTCAGAGAGTTGGTGAGCGTATCACCAGGAGCACTTCCAACAGTCTGCTTTAAATTTTTATGGACAACTGCTCACTTTGTTCCATACTCACGACTGGATAGTTAATCAGAAAGGATCGGCTACATATAACTCTGGAAACGAATCAACCAGGAACCCGTTACTTTAAAAATGTGTCGAAGAAAATAAAGGTGAATAGGACAAACACTGTGGTGACCTTTACTAAAGAAACTGCCGAGTAATATCGTGCTCCAGGCTCCCGAGTAGAACCGGAATTGGAAACTATGATTTGGGGGTGGATCCGAAAGTAACAGAGAGGAGATCCCTGTCATGAGGAGATAAGAGCATATGATCAGCTGTAGAGCCAAGTAAATAGGACTGCAGAGAACAGGGTGAAACGGGGGCGTGTTGTTAATGTTCTGTATACCATTCAGAACTCAATGAAATAATAATTATATTGCAGCTAAGAGATCTCTACACCAAATATTTTTCAGAAGGATCATATGAAACTTATAGTCTTGTCACTCTCTCTTGTTCATTCTTGCAACTGACTAGAGCAGCTTTTACCACTTCAGTGTAAATATGAACTTCTGTACATAAATACC